CACCTCTGGTCTCTACCTCAGCTCTTATATACATAAATAAACTAAATAAATATTATGGATATTCAGGATAAGAGCGAGGCATCATTTCCCAGCTGCCTGACGCGTGTGAGGCAGTCGGCTGGGAGCTTCGAGGCCACAGAGTAGTAGCAGAACTAGTCCTTGTAGCTCCGCCTGCCTATGCAGGTAAAACCCTGTGAACCCGAGTCTGTGGCAGAGTCATTCTAGCTAAGCAGCTGTACAACAGCCAGGGCGAGGATATTCCAGTTGTGGTGACATGTGAAGCTATTGTGGGAAGTAGCATTGGCGCTGTGCCTTAGATGAACTGATAATATCTGGCAGGTAGAGATGGTTGACTTGCGCAGAGAAGGAGCATAAACGCCGTGATGAAACTGCCCCTGCGCTGGGAGACGCGTGCGCACTTGTTGGGCTGCTTGGAAAGTGCAGAGAGGAGAGCAGGGAGACAAGCCGCGATGGATGATTAAGCCCTTGCAGGGAGACAAGCCGCGATGGATGATTAAGCCCTTTGGGTGGTGCAGAACAGAAGCAGGGCCAGCCCCCCAGAATCTGAGTTGTCTCCCTGAGTGATGCCACAGGAGCCCAATGCGAGAGCCCTTGCTCTTGACACAGCCTGCAGAGAGGTGGTCAGAGCTTGGGGCAGGACCCTGGCCAGTGTGGCTGTGGGAGGTTTGGGCAGGAGCCCGTGAGGGACACCAGGGCCTGGGACTCTCGTGACTGGTGCTTGTGTGAGACAAGGGGAGGGAGCCCTCAGCAAGCTCCCGGCTCTGAGCTTGTGTGACCAGTGAGTCGCCCATGGAAAATACACAATATACAGATTTGCACCTACCCGGGGTCCCTGGGAACCTCATCAGCCCTCTGCAGAAATGCCCACACGCAGGCCGTCTGGGGTCTTTTAGGAGTGTCCCATGCATCCTCGTGGGCCTTCAGAGCTCCTAGGGATGTTGTTGTTCTGATCCCACAGCTTCAGGGTCCCTTGCTGTCTGGCCAGGCTGTGGCCATGGGCACCTGGGTCTTGCCCACTGTCCTCTAGGCCCAGCAGCTCCCTCATGGGGCAGTGATGAGCCTCCAGCTGGTCTAGGAGAGGCTTCTGTTGCCGTGAGTACAGCTAATATGCATACTCGTCACCAGCCAGGCAGTGAAATCACCACACAGGTGCTTGTCCTGCAGGTGGGTGGTGTCATGAAGTGCCTGCACTGGGCACTCTGGACCCCAGGAAGGAGAACTATTGGATCTTCACTGTGGCGAGCCCTCTTCTGAAGGGGCCTGTAAGTGTTGTTCCCTAGTTTGGGATTGAATTTATAGACTTAAAGATTGTCTTTGATCCTTTACTTGGTGTCTCGATAGTCCACATATAAGTGAAACTCCCTGGTACTTAATCTTTGTCCTTCTGACCTGTTCTGCTTACCACGCTCCCTTCCAGCTCCAGCCACAGTGCAGCAAATGGCATGAGCTTATCCTTTTGATGACTGAGTAGTATTCCATTGCACGGGGACCCCCATCTTCTTGATCGACTCCTGCTTTGGGGCATCTAGGTTGTTTCTATATCCTGGATACTGACTGTATCTGAGGGGAGAAACCCTACACCATTCCCTCCCCCCCAAAAAAATTAGCAAGGGGGTCCCGTTAAAGTTTCAACACTATCAAGCTATCAGAGCCACTGACATGAGTTTGATGCCCGGCCAGGGAGCTGACCCACAGGGTCAGCAGACCTCTCCTGTCTCCCCGCTGCTCCCCTCAGCAGTGTGTTCCAGTGGAGCCACCTGCTCTGCTCCCCACTCTGTCTCTGGTGAAGCCTCCTACTGTACCCACCACACCACTGGCCCAAACCTCAGCTCTTGTCTGCATAGATAAATAAATCTAAAAAAAATCAGCAAGTATGTAAAACAGTGGTCCCTCATTAAAAATGAAAAAGATGGCCCTCCCTGGTGGCACAGCAGGTTAAAA